TACTTCCACTTGAAACAACTACCTGGCACTGCTACTTCATTTTTTTACGAGTATATACAGAGTCTTCTCCACTGGATTTTAACACCTTCAAAAGCAAAAGCTATGACTGGTATACTGCCCTTTTAGCCCAAAACTAGCAGAGTAGATTTTCCATAAATGTATATCAGTCCTGCACCGGCTTAGCCCTATTAAAATTGCATCTTGTGGTCTGGTAGTACAGCATTACAATGCATAAAAATATAAAAATGATTTTAAATAGATTCTGTAGTCTTTTGTACTACCATTTCAAACTCTGTGTTATCAGAAAACTTGAAAAGTGTCCCTTTCAATATCCTAATAAAACAGTGAGCAAAACAGGCCCAAAAGAAAAGCCCTGTGACATTCCACAAGACACCTGACGGCTGACAAGAGATATATCCAGTCTTCTAGGTGTAGCTCTTCCACATATTCAAACGCCTAAGAAAGGAACATACTGTCAGTAGAATTTTATGGGAGAATGAATGCTTTATTGAAAAATGAGATAATCTAAGTCAATGACATCCACCTTCCTTAAAAGGGTAAAATAAATTGCCATGACTATTTCTTGGTTACCCAACTTTTGTTCCAACTATCGCATTCTTATTTAAATGCCTGCAAATGATCCACCTAAAGACCTGAGTGTCACTTCTTTTCAAAATTTCCACTAAGTTTTTACTCTCTACAGTCTTATAGAATCTTTCTGCTTCTCCACAGTTTCTCAAAGATACCTCTGACAGCACATCTGCCACTTTCTTAAGTACCCTGAAATAGAATCCTGTAGAGCCTGCAGATGGAACACTGCTTTGCCGATACCTTGACTTTGGCCCATGGAGACCCATTTTCAACTTCTGAGCTCCAAAACTAGAACACAATACATTTGTGTAGTTGTAAGCCACCAAGTTTGTAGCAGTTTTTTACAGCAGCAATAGGAAAACTCATACAGTCCCTGATTCAGAAACTCTTGGCTCAAAATCAAGTTCCTTTCTTTCTGCCAGGGTCCTGTGTTTCTTGTCCAGATTCTTGGTCTAGGTTTGGACTCCATTAGCAAACTGTCCTTTAATGCATTCCTGAACCAGTATGCCAAGTTTCAGTGTGTTTCATCCCTCAAGACCCATTATATTCTGTTCCTTGGCCAGTAACAAACTCATACTCCTATATATTTACTTTTATAGTCTCAGCTCCCACATCTACTAGGTTCCCTAGCCCTGCTCTGCTGTAAGCTTGACCTTTAACTGTCCACCTTGCCTTGTTGTGGGATTCTCAGTTTCTTTACTTCCCCTAAATCCATACCATTGCCCTATGCTTACAAAGTACTTAAAATACTAAATCAAAATAAAATGAGGAGAGGATAGCAGCAGGTTTTTTAAGTGAAGAATGGAGAATCAGTAACATTAAACACAAAGTTTTTAAAACACTATAAATTCAAACTGTGTAGCTGCTTTAAATGAATTTATACCTTAATATCTACATGGACCACAAGTCAAGTATTAGCTGGGCCAGTGAATATACAGTTGACCCTTGAACACAGGTTTGAACTGCATGGGTCCACTTACATGGAGATATTTTTCAATAAATACAGTACAGGACTATAAATATATTTTCTCTTCCTTATGATTTTCTTAATTTCTTCTTTTCTCCAGCTTACTTTATCATAAGAATACAGTACATAATACATATAAAATACAAAATATGTGTTAATCGACTGCTTATATTAGCAGTGAGGCTTCTGGTCAACAGTAGGCTGTTAGTAGTTAAGTTCTGGGGGAGTCCAAAGTTATATATGGATTTTTTTACTGCATGGGGGAGGGGAAGAAAGATGGTGACCCTAACCCCATGTTGCTTAAGGGTCAACTATAATTTTAAAACTTTTTAGATCAGGGGTGCCTGGGTGGCTCAGTCAGTTGAGCGTCCATCTTCGGCTCAGGTCATGATCTCACGGTTTGTGAGTTCAAGCCCCGTGTCAGGCTATGAGCCTGGAGCCTGTTTCAGATTCTGTGTCTCCCTCTTTCTTTGCCCCTCCCCCACTCATGCTCTGTCTCTCAAAAATAAATAAGCATTTAAAAAAAATTTTTTTTAACTTTTTAGATCAGAAAAAGTGCCATAAAACTGGATATATTTAAATTCAGCCTTAATATTCAAAGGGTGAATTGGGTGGCAAGGAAAATCCTAAAAATTAAAGACCAGTTAGTTTGAAGTGATTTCCATTTTCAAATGAGTCTATCAGCACTAAAGACAACTCAGGTTCACCACAAAGTCATGCCAAATTAACCTAACATCTGTTTTTGAGAAGAGAATCATGATGACTAATTAATAAGAAGAAATGCTAGGACTAGAGGATAAACAAAGTTTTCCTTGTGAACAGATTCCTGTTTCAAAATCATCAACAGTTTAAAACTTAAACTCTGCAATCTTGGTGGAAACTGAAAACGGTGCAGCCTTTATGGAAAACAAGTAAGGAAGCTTTTTAAGACGTAAAGATAACATTAGCAAGATGACCCAGCAATGCCATCCTTAGGGATATAATTAAAAGAACTCAGTACAGCTTTATTCCCGATAGCCAAGGGGTGGAAGCAACACAAATGTTCATCAACGGGACACTGTTTATGTGGATAAACAAAATGTATATACACTTAACAATGGAACACTATGCAATCTTAAAGAGGAATGCAATTTATCACGAACTACAACCTGCGTGAACCTCAAAGATATCATGCTACATGAAATAAGCCAGTCACAAAAGGACAAATGCGGCACGACTCCACTTATTTGAAGAACCTAAAAGACTCAAAATGAAAGATACAGAAAGTAGAAAGGTAGTGGCCAAGGGCTAGAAGGAAAGGAAATTGGTACTTAATGAGTATAGAGTTTCAATTTTGCAGGATGAAAAAGTTCTAGAAATCTGTGGCACAACAAGGCAAATATTGCACACTATTGAACTGTATACTCAGAAATGGTGAAGATGGTAAATTTAATTTTATGTGTCTTTTACCACAGTAAAATAAACAAAATCTTTTTTTTTTAAACTTTGGACTGAACAAACAAGATGGTTTGTTACAAGAATAAATTTGAGACCTACTGATTCAAAGGCAATAATCATGTGTAAGACCTTGGGAACATGTGCTTTAAGAAAAGGTTGAAGAATAAAAGGGGAGGAGCCATATTTAACTTAAGAAAAGGAAGGCTAAGTGAAACCTGAAAGAACAAACGCAGAGAAGGGAGCCTGAAAGTTATTCTATTGTTTAACTAAACTCAACTTTATTAACTCATTCATTCAACAATGTTTATAGAATGTAAACAGTGTGGTCGCCACTGTTCCAGGTGTTTCTGATGCAATAGTGAACAGAGCAAAGATCCTTGCTTTCATGAAATTTTACACGCCAGTGGGGAGAGATGCACAAACAATAAACATAATAAATGAGCATGGGAGGCTATTTCTAAATGGCTCCCAATGGTCCCGGGTATCACACCTCAGGTAATTCCTTCCCTGCATGTGGACTGGACTAAATAGAATGCAGCAAAGATGATGTCACTTCCAAGATTAGATTATAAAGACTATGACGTCTGTCTTGCTCAGACACTCTTGATCTCTCCTGCTTGCTTGCTCTGGTGAAGCCAGCTTCCATCTTCTGAGCTGCACTGTGGGAAGGCCTTGTGAAGAGGTGAGGAACTGAAGGCGGTGCCAGCCAAAAGCCAGCATTGAACCAAGACCCTCAATCCAATGGCCTACAAGGAACTGAATGGTACCAACAGCCACATGAATGAAGTTAGAATGGATCTGTCTCCAGCTGAGCCTTGAGGTGACTGCAGCCCTAGTCAATACCTTAAATTCAGCTTATGAGAGACCCTGAAGCAGAGGATCTACATAGATTCCTGACCAACAAAAACTATGATAATAAATGTTGTTGTTTTAAGCCACTAAATTCTAGAATGATTATTTTATGCAGCAACATATATTAATACAACATGTTAATTACATGTTAAAAAGAGTTGCAAAAAAAAAAGTAGAGCAGAGAAAAGGTGGGGGTGTGTGAGATACGATTTAAGAAAGGGGTGTTACAAAAACTCACATGTGAATGTTTATAGCAGCATTATTCACAATAGTCAAAAAGTGGAGCAGCTCTTTCTGCTCATGGGTCCTGTCCCCATACTTTAATAAAACCACCTTTTTGCATCAAAAATAATAATAATAGTCAAAAAGTGGCAACAACTCAAATGTCCATCACCAGGTAAATGGATAAATAAAATGTGGCATGTCTCTAATGGAATATTCTTCAGCCACACAAAGAAATGAACCAGTGATCCATGGAAGACTCTCAAACATATTATCCTAAGTGAAAGAAGCCAGTCACAAAAGACTACATATTGTAGGGTACCAATGGATGAAAAGAAAATCTATACAGAAAGAAAGTAGTTTAGCAGTTGCTGGGGCTGGAGTAGGAAGAGAATCACCCATAAGCGGGTGTGAGGGATCTCACTGGAGTGACGGAACCAGTCTCAAACAGGGCTGTGTGCTGGCTGCTCAACTTGGCAACTGTATTAAAAATCACTGAATTGTACATTTAGAGCAGGTAGATTTATGGTAAATTATACCTCAAAAAAGCTGCTTTAAAGCGGGGTGTTAATATAGGCAGATAGAGACTATAACACATGGGTAAAAACTATAAAGGAAGGGTATCAGCCAAGAGAATATCTAGGGAAAAGAAGGTAGAGGAGGGAAAGGCATCCAAAGACCCTGGGGCAGCAGCGCACCTGTGTGTCTGCAGCACAGCAAGGGTGTCAGCATGGCTGGACTTGGAAAGTTCTAGGCGGGAGAGTAAAAGAATGAAGTGAGAGAAGCAAGGATGGGTAGAGTATGGTGGTGACGGCAGCACGTAAGGCCTTTTCACGTCCATGGGCTTTTGCCATTCGAGAAAGGGACAGGAGATAAAAGTTCTGCACAGAGGAGAGATATGACCTGACTTGCATTTTAAAAAGATCTGACAGTGCTCCCTTGAGCAGCACAAACACTAAAACTGGAACAATACAGAGAAGATTAGCATGGCCCCTGGGCAAGGATGACATACAAGTTTGTGAAGCGTTCCCTAATTTTATAACTAAATATAAACATAAAAAGATCCTACAAAGTAGAAAAATGATAAAAGGAGATTATAAAAGGGTCCATACAAGCTAGCTACCGCCAGAGTTGCTGACCTCTCTGATCTGACTGGGATACTGAGATGTTTTACATTGAAAAGGAGGGGATGCTTGTGTCTCAAAACGTGGCCTGTGTGGCCCGCACCAGACTCTGGTCCAAGGGGGCCTGTTCTACAGGGAGGTCCTGAAGTTCCACCTCTGACGTGTGAACACCTGGCGCTGAGGGGTGAGACTCTAAATTCTACACACTTCCCAGGAGATGACTTTTGAGAAGCATAATGAACCAGAGGAACACTCAAGTCCCTTCAAACTCTAAATTATGAGAAAGTATACAGGCAACCAAAACCACGCTTGTCTAGGGAAATGGCTGGGGGTTACTATAAATGAACATTCGAATTGATTATTTTATTACAGACAAAGTGCCTTTTTTTCCCCATTCTCGAAAATCCTTACCCAGTTGTTTTTTTTCCCAGCATAAATTTCCATGTTCTCTCCATATTGTGGCTCTTCCAGTAACGTCTGGTACTCAAACATGAGGCGGGAGCTCTCACGGAGGCGGCTGCACTGGAACTGGTGATACTGTTGCACAAGCTCCTTCACCACAAGTAACAGACATTCAGGATTTGAAGGATTCCAGGAGGCAAGGTTCTGCAGAAACCATAAATAAAAGACCGGTTGAAAAGGAATTTTCATACAAATCCAGTATCCCACCAGCACATCAACATAGAGGAAAACAGTGATGAAAATCTAAGAGGAACAGACTATGCTTAATTAGCGATAAACTCAGAACTTAAGTTATGAAGGTCTTTTGAGCTTGGTGACTTCTCCTGTCTCTGAAAAATCCTTGCAGAAAATCAAGGAGGGATTCCATCATGAGGAGGCAGTGAAGTGTGAAGCAGGGTAGTAACAAAACAAGAAACCTAGATACCCTAGAACATCATCATTTTAGTCCTGGGAGACTTAATTTCCTTCTTATTCTTTTACAATTTTAATTTTTTTCAACCTGCACATAAATCCAGCATTATATGCTAACATCATTCAACCCAGATCCACGGACCATCTGCATCTATAATACCAGATATAAATAAATGCTCTGTAAACACTGGAGCCCCACAGAAATACAAGCACATCGATGATGGGTTGATCTAGAAATGATAGGAATGGAGTAGAGAAGAGAGAAAATAAGCTAGGAAATACAAGGTTGAGAGAGAGGAAGGAAATGGCTGTGAGGGCTGCCGACCAGGAAAGTAGGTGGGAATGGGGGAGAGATTTGGTAAGCATACAGTCCTTGTTAAGCTCACATTCATTCATTCAACAACAGCTATCAAATGCCTATGATTAAGAATCAGCCACTGTTCTAGGCAGTAAAGAAAACAAACCAAGCCCTTGCTCTCCACGAGCTTACATTTTAGTGGCCAAAATAAACAACAAACAACGAACTACATCAGATGATAATAAATGCTACTGAGGACAAAACAGCATGTATCTCAGAAGCCTAGTGAAAGGAGTGGCTCAAGGAGAAAGAGGTGATCAGCTGTGTGAAATGGTGTTGACACGGTGAGTACGGAGGTCTGAGAGCTGACCGCTAGGTCCAGTGACACACCCATCAATAGCATCCATAACAGGCGCTTTTGACAAAGTAAAGTGTGACCGTCGAGGGTTCAAGAGAGAATGGGTAGAAACTGCACATAGCTAGTATAGATGATTCAAACTGGTAACCAGAGGGGAGTGTGGGGTCAAGGGAAAGTTCTACTCAGGGATTTGCAGCCTGCTGGAATGTCCATGTAGAGAAAGGGGGGACTTATGGGGGTGGGGTCCAAAGAGCAGAAGGAAAGAAAGCAAATAGGTAGACAGGGATGGGATCTCTGAGAGGGCTGGCTTTAGAAACGAGCACAGAGAGCCCATTGACAGAAACAGGAGGAAGAGCCAAGTGAAGGAGTAGGAGCGCAGGCAGGTTGTTGTGTGAGGTGACAGGAGCCTGTCGCCAACTTCTCTCCTTAGAGCTTGTATGTTCTCCTTGAAACAGGAAGGACGGTCATCAGCTGGGAGTCAGGAAGAAGGAAATGATATTGGAGAAGAAAGTGTGAACTAGTCATTTGAAAGAGTCATTCAGAAGAATAAATGTACTGGGGAAATGTAGGAGGAATTCCAGATAGCACTAAAAGCCCCACTGGGGTTAGAGGTATGGTTTTTAAGTGAGACCAATTAGCATAAATCCCACTGCCTGGGTGCAAAGGTGAAGTGAGAGGAATTTGGATTTAACAAAGCTTGGGACTTTGCCAGAAAAGCACAATAGAAAGAGAGGCAAAAGATCTTAGAGGGTTTGCAAAAGAATGATTATAATTATGGACCATGGGTGTTAAGTCAGGAAAAAGCCACGCAAGTTTATAAGGGAGTGGGGCGGGGGGGTAGTGAAAGGGTAGAAGGACCAATGGTCCTGGGTTTTGTGGGTCATGAGGTATTACCACATGGGGGAAGGGTTACCTAATAGGGAAAATACATAAACCTGAACTAGGGCTACTGCAAATCCAAGGACAGTAAGTAGAATAAGAGTGACAAATGTAATAAAAGCCTGCTAGGCTGATGCTCAATAGGATGAGGTTTGCTCCTCCAATTAGGTCAATCAGTAGGTGTCTGGCAGTAACACTGGCAGTTAATCTTACAGCTAGTGCTATTGGCTGAATGAAGACTAACGGTCTTGATAACTACTAACATAGGAACGAATAGAATACAAGAGTTGCTGGAGATGAAATACTGAAAAGAATGCCTTGGAAAGATGGGACGTGTGGTCAGAGGAGAGGACAGTTGCAACCGGGAGAACCGAGATGAATCTGTAACTGGTACTGACAGGGTACGGAGTACTACAGGGAGTGTGCCTGGCTCGAAGAATCATTTATGTGAATATTAAATCATATATTTGGAGAATTTTAGGGAAAAGGGAATGACGATTTCCTTGGTAGCAGCATTGAAGAGCAAGGAGAACACCTACCACACCTCCAGATTCTGGTTCAACTGGGATAATCTGAGGTATGTCTGGGGTATTGGGGTGTTTGTTTTAATTATAGCTTCCCAAGTGATTCGAATGCACAGGAAAGGCTAAGAACCACTAACTTGGAGGAAAAAGAATTACAGAAGAGGTTGGAGGCATCTAGGACTCTACTGATAACAGACCACCTTAATACCCCCAAAACATTCAATCTCTAGAAATTTAGCATCAATAAAGGAGAACCCCTATTATACTACAAATGTTCAATAGGTGATAATTATATAGCTTGCCAAGTGCTATACAAATTCTAAGAACTTTTCATACGTTCAAGTTAGTCCACAACACAACCTTACAAGTTATATTAACCTTCACACACGAGGCAAAAAGTAGTTCAATATCTTGTCCAAGGTCATAGAGACATTAAAAAAATAAAGTTGAGTTTCAAATTTAAGCAATTTGGCTCCAAGTCCCTGCTTAAGCACTACACTACAGGTTCTCACACATTTTGGTCTTGGAAACCTTTTACGCTCTTTAAAAAAAAAAGTACTTAGAACACCAAGAGCTTCTGTTTATATGAATTATAGGGATTAAATTTACCGTATTAAAAATGAAAACCAATAAATTTTAAAAATATTTATTAATTCATGTTAAAAAACCTACTAATTGTTAACATAGAAAATATTTTTAATGAAATCACTATGATTTCAAGAAAACAGCACAGTATTGTTTTATATTCTTGCAAATCTCTTTAATGTCTGGCTTAATAAAAGAGCTAAATTCTCATATCTGCTTTTACATTCAATGTTGCAATATGTTGTTCTGGCTGAAGTAGATGAAAAAAATCCAGCCTCACTCATATGTGTACTTTAAAAAGAGAGGAGTATTTTAATAGCCTTGACAAATAATTCTGGATAGATTCTTCTTGGATACTATACCAAAACTCAACAAGTGGTAGTTTCTTAAAGGTTAGTTACAGTGTGGAAGCTGAAACTATATTCATAAAAGTTTCATGCTCTTACATTAAATTCCATCAATCTATCCTGCACTTCGAACATATCATTTACTTATGTATGATTTTGTACCATCATGATTTGGCCTTTTGGAAAATACTGATTCACTGAGTTATACAATCTTCTAAATTTTGACATGTTTCATTTATATAATACCAATAGTCACGTACCATAACTAATCTCACCAAAAAAGTCTTCTATCAAAAGAAAACAAACGAAAGGTAAAGAAATGCATTCTTTAAAAGGACAGCAATTATTCTGGTCTACTGAATGGGTTGATTTACAGGCACTAAATGACAATGGAGAATCACAAAATGTTCTTTTATTTAGGTCTTAAGGGTAGTTCAAATAAAGGCTTGATAAAGACAGGAAAATGATCTTCATCATACAGTGAATGAAAGACAGCCCTAACTATGAACTGATTTGATAAGAAGACTACAAAGCTCTCACTGGCAAACCTCTTGACTTCAAGATTCTGAAAATTCCTTTTAAGCTACTCAAGAACACAAAGTACCAATAGGATATAACAACACAGTACAAAACTTTAATGATCATTATGTAGTTTGCTATACATTTCTTCCAGAGTTTATCACTAAATATTAATAAGAAAAACAGGCAATCTTCCATTTCTTGGTCAAGGAGTCAAGTCCCTATTCAAGGACAAAAAGAAAAAACTTTAGTTGCTTAAAGTTCTATTTTTTTCAACTTTATCATTTTCTTTAGCTGTGTGGAAAGTTACAAGCCTATATCCCACAATTTAAAAAAAGAAAGAAAATTCTAAAAGCATATAAGCTGGCAAACATCTCTTACCAATTTGAATTCACGTCAAGTAATTCAACCTAATTGTTAAATGCATAAAGATATGCCAACAAGTCCCTTTCCATTAAAATGCAATCTCCCAATATATGGAAATGCATTTGACCTCTTTGGCCATTCAGTGCACACTTGACTGGGAAATGA